TTTGCTGACCTTTAGCTCTGCATCATGCTTCTCCTCTCCTGGTGTGAGTATAACTTCTTACATTTTTGTAGAAGCCGTTGAGTGGTTAGATTCGTGTCAAGGGGTGGCATTTGATCCCAAGATTCATCAGATTAGATTCTCTACTTTTTACTGCTTATATAAATGAGATTTTTTCAGTATTAATAAAATTATTTACCGTCTCAAAAAAGATCCGTAAGTTATTGCTGGGGTCATTAGATCCAAATTACTATGCTAATCACTTCATGCTCTATTTCTTTCTTTTGTTACGCCGTCCTATTTTATGTGCCGATACTTGATCTATACAGAGTAGACAATGCTAATTTGACTTATATAATATAGTAGCAGTAAGGATCTTCGAGGACATCCGATAGCGAAAATATTCTTATATCAGTAGTAATGAGAGAATATATTACAATATCGGTTGGAAAATAGATATAGAAAACATCACATCCTGAAAGTTGTGTATAGTAATTGTATTAATGGTTCACCCAAGGGTGTGGTATGCTAGTCAATGAAGTGGGTGAAAATCATGAGAGAGTAGGGTTCAAATGTCAGCAGTCACAAAAATACTATGTGTTTTTTCCCGTTAATGTAAGTTTTGGGGTACAGACTACACAGAGTGACCGATACATGTACTTGGAGATAACAGGTATCCAATGGAATAGTCGAGGTGTGCCAAATGGTCTGGAACTGCTACTAGAGAAGGTATTAATGGAGTGGAGTCTAATAATTTGAAATGAACAAAATTGGAAGTGTGTCATATAAATTGGAATTGAGAGTTTTCATTTTTAAAGTTATGAATCAATTAACTAATTTTATCTTTGTTATCTCTCATACTTGTGACTTACAAACTCGGTGAACTTGTAACAACAACAACATACCCAGTGTAATCTCAGAAAGTGGGATCTGGGGAGGGTAAAGTGTATGCAAACCTTACCACTACCTTGAAGGTAGAGTGATTGTTTCCAATAGACCCTTGGTTCAAGGAAAAAAGTCTAAAGCAATATAGAGAAAGAAATAGAAGGCTGTGATTAATCCAAAGGGCGGGTCACATGCGGATTTCTCGGTTATAAAAAAAAAGTATAGAGAAAGAAATAATGGAAATGAAGAAAGTCATGGCAAAATATTATAGAGAATCTGACAAATCATCCTAAACAATAGTCATAACAAGATAAAGCGATAATCGAAGGGTAAAAAACCAAAGATAATAACCAAACTCAAAGGCTAGAAACTACAAGAGTAATACTTCCACTAATAGTACGACTATAGTATAGAAGAATAAGCGAGACAACACTCAACTATCTAACTGACCTCCTACCCTAACCCATGTCCTCTATAACCTCATATCTAAGGTCATGTCCTCGGTAAGTTGAAGCTGCATCATGTCTTGTCTAATCATCTCTCCACAATTCTTCTTTGGCCTACCTCTACCTCTCTTGGAACTATCCATGGTCAAACTTCTGTAAACTTGTGATGTTACAAAATCTTCAGCTAGTCTATTTTTGTGGAACACCTATATCATCTATGAAATGAATTCTAGGGAAGTAAAGAGCATTTCTGTGACATGATTTGGTTTGAAAAGGGGCCGAAAAGAGCAGAACATATAAATTTAAAAAGGAGTTTTATAGCCGACCTCAACTAATTTGGGAATGAGCGTAGTTGATTAATGGATCAATTGATTCTTTCAGATTTGAACCTCAGAAAGACTGCATTCTGTTAAGTTGAATTCATCTTTTTTGTTGGCCTTGCATTTTAAACCAGTCTCTCATGAGACTTGAAGTTTGTCCAGCCAGTAGTTAAGATTCTGTCTAAGCAAAGATCATTACGCAGATATGTTAATTTAATAGCTGTGTGGTTGATGATTTTTAAGGAATGGTTATCTGAGGATTCATATATCTGGACGACTAGTTTTTAGTCGAGGAATAGTTGGTTTTCTTGATAACGATAAATCTTTCATTGTTTATATGATGTTCAGTCTTCTATATTACCCTAATATACTCTCTGGCGAAAACATAGCTCATACTTTCTTTTTCTTACTCTACAGTGTGATTCCGTCTCAACAACAGCAAACACTCTAGTAGGGTATGTAAATTGCTCGAGTAGCATTACATTTAATGTCACTAGGGGATCTTGGACGTCCAATTATCCATACAAGAAATGGACGTTGCATTCAACAGTTACTGACAATATAGTATTAACTGAAGAAGAGAAGAAAACATGGAACGATAGCAGACAAGCTCTTTCTGCATTAAAATTTAGCCCAGATGAAGAAGACAAAATATTAGGAAAAGCATTTGGCCACATACATTCGCCTTACTGGTATGAAGAACGGAAGAAAGAGGTTCCACGACTAGAAGTTGTGAACGAGATACTGGAATATCTAAGGAGTTTAAGCCTTACTGATGATGATCTCACTAAACTTGTCAAGAAATTCCCAGAAGTTCTTGGATGTAGCCTTGAAGATGAAATGAAAACCAATGTCGAAATTCTGGCAAAGCAATGGGGAATTGAAGGTAAAACTCTGAGAAATTTGCTTCTTCGAAATCCAAAAGTTTTAGGCTACAATGTTGATTGCAAAGGTGATTGTGTGGCTAAATGCACTCGCTGTTGGGCTCGATTCTAGCTGCATTCTTGTTTTTCATTCTCATACTTTTCTTTATGTATAACTTTCGTCAACCATTGTATCTAATTATTCAATATCGAAAGTAAATTTATACAATATCAGATTTCTGTATTGCACTGAGATGTGACTCAAGTTTAGATCAAAGTATGTTACAGAGACAATGAAATGAAAAAAATCAGAGCAATTTTTTGAAATTTGATTTCATTTCTGAGTTTTTGATTTTTTGAAGTTGTATACCAAACCAAACGTTTCTTTTAAGTTTGGTTGGTTCGACTCCATTTTTTCGATTTTTTTATGTCCAAATTGGAGAAATTATATTGACTTGATTCATCTATACACGTTTTTACAGTTTTTCAAATATATGATTGAGTGAATGAATAACAAATCTAAGACCCAAATCCCACTAAAAATATTTGCAATAGCTTTTTCTTTAAACTCTACAATTGTATATACAGAATTTAAAAGGAAAAGTTGTGTGTCACACTGATTAATGAGTTTAATGCAGAGTGAACATAGATTAAAATAAGATAAGCAAAATGGTTATAATTGTTACTAGGAAAGTGATTTTCTCATGTTAAAATATCTTTGCAGGGGTGGCTCAATGATCAACCTAGTAAAGCATTTGCTTTAGGCTTTCAAAATTTTGAGACTCGAAAAATTTTCATTGTGAATTTTATGATTTTAATTTCACATAAAACAATATTAATGATTGTAAATTTTTCTTACAAAATTTACGTAAAAACTAAATAAAGAAAGAATTGATTGAGGAAAATGAGTTGATTTGGAAAATATTTTTCAAACATTTAAGCCAACCAAACATGAGAAAATTGAAAAATATTTTTCAGAAAATGTTTTCATAAACTACCAAACACACCCTATAAGTTATCATATTCTATGTTCAAGTATAAATTATTGAAATCTTTTAAAAAAAGTCATCAATCTTCGTATATCTTCACAAGTGAAATCTATTTCCCAAGATACTCTTAATAATTCATTTTAATAAGATATCTCTCATTTCCCTCTTTTGTCATTTTTATATATGTTAAACACTAACAACTTTGAATTTTGTCATTTAATATGGAGTTCATTGTTTAAAGGGAAAAAAGATTGATATATCTCTTAATTTTGTCATTTAAAGCTCATATATTCTTATTATAAAAGTTGCTCATATTATGTCTCTCATGTTATACAAATAATTCATATATATCATTTTTCTCTAATAGAAGAGAAAAAATAATTTAAAAGTAATATTTTTATGTAGGGATATATGTAATCCTTCTCTCACGTATTTTTTCTTTTTTTTTTTTGGGTTCAATGAGTAATTTGGATTTATTATTTTGATGGTTAATTTTTTTTTTTAACTTTTCTTGTAAAATTTATCATATATGCCCAAATTTTTTATTTACATATACAAAAAATAAATTACAATATAGCTGAAAAAAATATTTTTATTTTTCTTACTTTTTTTCTCTTTTTCCACTCACACTTCTTTCTTTTTATTTCCATATTTTAACACGAAAGAATGAAAGAAAAAAAATAAGAATAAGAAACTCAAATAATGATAATCAAAGAAGTCAAAAAAAATTAATGCGTGAGAAAGATCAAATATATCCCTAAGTGATGTTTTTTAAAAATAAAAAATTAAAATTATTTTTTTCACTTTCATTAGATGAAAAGGGTATATGTGAGCCAGTTTTATAACGGTATGAGTATATGTGCGTCACTTTTGTACCGGTAGGGATATATGTGAACCACTTTTGTAATGAGGTGCATATCAACTCTAAATAAGAAAGTTTAGGATTATATATCAAACCCTTTCCCTTGTTTAATTGATGATTAAACTATTCTTGTATCAATACAAATTACTTATTCTTTGTTGTTTTATTTAAAAAGTCATTCAAGTTGAAAAGTAATATATTCGATTACTTTTTTTAAATCGTAACACTCTATTTTTAAGCCAAAAAATCGAAAAAATGCTAAAGTATTTATCGACATTAGTTAATTGTCATTGAATTCAATGTCACTATAAGTTTTGGGGACATTTACAAAGAATGATAATTGCTACTAATTAAAAAATATATTTAGCGATGACAATTAATTTATTATCATTAATTAATTATCGCTAAAAATCATTTTTAATACAGTAAACTCACTATTCGACTCGATTTGCCACCCATCGAAGTCTCTTTCATTTGCTAAAATAAATGCTGACATAGTGGTTAATAAAGTAATTTTATTCTTTCCTTTTCATAATTTACATCTCAATGAAATTTGGAATATAAGAATATCAGTTAAGGTACAAAAGACAGCAATCTAGATATAAAAGGGAAAAAATAATTAAAAAGAGCATCAATAATTTTATCTAGAAAATACATATATAATATATTTATATGTATTAATTTATCTCACAAACAAAAGAGTCATAATCAAATATTCAAAAGCACACTTGCATACACTCATGCAACAATTTCTCTCATTTTATTCCCTCTAACCCCCCACCCCCCACCCACCCAAGAATTAAAACAGAAAAAAGAGAGAAATTAATTAAATCTAAGCATTTATTTAATAAATAATATGCATTGTTTTTTCTTAATTTAAAAATTATTAATTAATTAAGGGCACTTAGGCTTGTTGCCATGAGTCTTAAGCCTAGCATAACAAGGGCAAACTTCCTTGTTTCCATAAGTGCCTGGTGGAACACACTTGCATCTTGCACAACATGTCTTGCATGCCCTCATGCACACCTTCTTTCTTGACGACTTCTTGCATCTCCTCGCACATGCGTATCCGCAATCTGTAAAAATTAATTCAAAGTAATATCATAACTTCTCTTGATTTCACGGCTAGAAAATAAGATATTAGTAACAAACAAAATTTTATAACTAAACAACAAAAAATTTGATCCATGCTAATCTCATTTAGCTACAGGCCTACAACCTTATAAGAACAGATTAGCTAGGGATTATCGACAAAATCAATTCAAAATAATATTTAATCTCTTTATAACTTCTCTTGATTTCACGGCTAGAAAACAAGAAATTAATAACAGACAAAATTTTATAGCTAAGAGAAAAAAAAAATCGATCCATGCTAATCTCATTTAGCTATATATACAACCTTATAACAACAATTAGCTAGGGATTATCAACAAAATCACTTCAAAATAATATTTAATATCTCTTTCACATGTATACATAAACAAACTTACATCCTTGACATATACTTACTAAATTTAAGTTATGGATTCAGTTGAACCAGTTAAATCCCATAAATCAATTCTTGGTCGATATTAAAAATTTTTTTTGGCACATGTCCTTGTATATCTTACCTATATAATTGAGATGACAAGTAATACTTTTAACTCAAAATTAATAATATTGTACAACTTACGTATCCTCTTAATTGGGTGAATTTTTTTGTGAAGAGCTCCTTCATTGCCTGCCTCTATCTGCATAACACAAAATGAAACGTTCATATTAAAAACGTTTGCATAAAATTAACAATTTTCCTTTGTTTATTATGTAAGATGATTTGTGAGTTATTTATTATAGAAAAAATTACATAAATACACAACTTAAGATACCATAATCTCCAAAAATTCCCCTACATTTTAAAAAATTACAAAAAATCTCCTCTCGGATACATCTCCATTCCCTTTCGAATACATCCCCCATTAAGTAATATATCATTTGCAATGTATCAGTCTATCAGACAACCAATAAATGTATTCAAGAGCAATGAAAAATCCATTTTTTTTGTAAAATTGGAGAAACTTTTGGGATAGGATGTAATTAGCCCTCAAATGTATGAGATTTCTGTACTTTATGCTATATTATACGAATAATACCTGTTCAGCAGCAGCATTGGATAAAACCTAAAATAAGAAATTATGTTTAGGATTAGGAAAACTAATTAATGAAAATAATTAAATACTATATAAGTGTTTATTAAACTAAATTTTTTAGCTACCTGTATGAGGAGGATGAAAATGAGAAATAATGTGAAAATCTTCATGTTATTATTTTTTTATTTTTTTTTGTATAGAAGAATGGAAGTGAAATGAGAAGAGAAGAGGGATAGGGTTTTATATAGGCATATATTTTGTGCAATTGGGCAAAGGCATTTAATGTGCCTTTTGAAAGTTGATCACATGAAGATATGGTTCATTGCAATATATCACAGGCTTTGAGTTGAGTGCTTTTTTTAAAAAAAATTTTTTTGGGAAACTTTATTTTATAAATTTTTGAACTCTTGTTTGGAAGTGTATCTCTGATCACTTTACTAATAACTTTTTAGCTTTTGTGTGAGTTACACACAGCTGTGGATTCCTATGCTTGGATATATAGAAAAATAATAAATGGTCCCCTTAGCAAGAGGGAAATAGCCTAGATGATAGGACAGAGGCGAATCAAGGATTTTAAGTTTATGATTTTTAGATTTTATGACGTAACAACTTACTGGTTTGAAGAAGATTATGTTTACACGTTAAATCAATATTTTTTTTTACTACAAATACGAAGTTTGGATTAAAACTGCTGAATTCTGTCGAATTCATAACTAATGTTCAGGTAGATTCACCCCTGATCACACAAACCGTTGGGGATTGAATTCGAAAGGGTGTTTATCGTGAAACTTTCCTTCAGGAAAATCCACATCGGAATGGAAGGGGAAAGTTACTCCCTCCCTTCCTCCACTTTTACTTGTCATGTTTCTCTTCGTGAGAGTCAATTTTACTAATCTTAGGAGCTAAATTGATTAATTCAGCATTTTAAATTTAGATTATCGGAAACTACACAGAAAATAATATATATTGCAATCCTTCCCAGGTTAATATGATTAAAAAATACATCTTAAAATGTTGCTCAAAATTCATACAATTTATTTTTGGTGAAATGTTGACAAGTAAAAGTAAGCAAACGGAGTAGTTGTAACACCCTACCTTAAGATAAGAAGTTTCACATCAATAATACACAGGAGAGATATTGAATATATGAGTAATTAAGCAGATCTTATTGACTCGCTTTAAAGCCATGCAGGCCTAGACCCGAAGCGAACAATATTACTAGCGGGTTAGGGTTACAATAGTAATAGCTAGTCACATAAGGGCAAGTTCAACATTCAACCGTTAAGGCTTCCTTTGTAGAAATAACACCCAATGACCACTTTTGACCATCTAGTTGATAAGTAGCCATTGTCATGGAGTAATACATTTAACAAACAAAATTCAACTATTATGTGTTCGAATTTCACTTGTAAAATTTGAAACTTAGATCATAACAATAACTTATTTCCAATCACATAAGCAATTACAACTTCATGACAATGTCTATTTTTCAATCACCGAAGCTAAAATAATGTAGTTACTATATTGAAATTTTTCACGTCTTTTGAGTTAAAATCCAAGGGAACAATAGGCCCAAAATTTTAAACGTTGGGCACAAAAACGTCGGGCTAAAACGGACAATACCTTGGGTGTGGCACCTCATTTTGTGAATAAGGGAAGGCAACTTGCTGAGAAAGAGAAAGGGGATAAGACAGTTTGCCAGTAAACATATTACTTTCTCCGTTTAAAAAAGAATGATCTACTTTTCTTTTTAATCTATTTAAAAAAGAACGGTCTCTTTCTTTTTTTTAGTATCCTTTTAATTTCAGCTTTCCACGTGGCATGTTCAACGCCACAAGATTAAATGACAATTTTGTACATTTGACATAACTTTAATTTAAAATCACAAAATTCAAAAATCTTCTTTATTTTCTTAAACTCCGTGTCAAGTCAAATTAGGACACTCTTTTTGAAACAGAAGAAGTACTATATCTTCCAAAGGAAAAGAACACGAGAAATTTAATGTGCATGCACCATTTGTTGTTTAGCACCAATTGCTAGGCTGGCTATTTTTGTCATATAATAAAATACCATTATCTTTTTTATATGTATCTGTCCTCCATAATAACAAACTCACAAGATGTGGAAAAAGAGAAGTCACTATAGCCAAGCACAAAAAATAATGACAATGACAACAATAGTAAAAAGTAAGGTAAAATAACATACTTTTAAAGGAAGTTTATTTGCTATTGGATTACAACAACAAATGGAATCCACGATAGCGAAGAGAAGGTAGAACTGTTATTTCCTATAGACCCTCGGCTCTGCTATTGGATTATTTGGAAAATATATATGACTACATATTATCATTGTTTAATATTAAGTCTTTTAAAGGACTTATAAAAGACCCCAAGATGAATTGCATAGTAAATATGCATAGGTTATATGCAAAATATTGTGCAAATAGTCACACACTTATAGAAAAGGGATATTTACAAACAATCCACAAGATTATCATAACAACTCCATGGATTTTCAGAGTTCGAACCTGAGACTTTTAGTTAAGGGTGAAGCAGTTTCACCACTGCACCACTAACTCCTTGAAAAAGCCAATAATCAAGGTATAAATAACTTTCGAAACAAGATTATATCCTTTCACTTCCTCATGTCAATGTGCATGGGATACAATGTCAAACACAACAAATTTTACACTTAGATTCAACCCTCAACTCATAATTCTAGAGATGCAAGATTGAATATTAAACCCTTGTGATCAATAGAAAATCAAGTGCACTCATAGTTCTTACTTCCACATAATTTCATTAAATACTCAATTTTTAAGTTCCAAGTCAAATTAGCTAGTAGGGCCAAAGCATAAATAATTAAGGGTAATGCTAAATGACCAGAAATTTTGGTCAGAATTTTAAAAAGTTTATAATATCTTTTTTATTTTAAAATAAACTAATCTTTTTTTCATTTTTTAATCAAAAGATATTAAAGATAAAAAGGTAAAAATGTTCAAAAAAATAAAATAACATATTGTGAATTGTGAAATATGTTATTTTACCATTCTGGCCAAAAGGATTTTTCCAATAATTAAAGAGTCTTTGAGCATAACACATGGTTAATCAAACAAAAATAGTATGACAATTGACACATGACCCCATTAAGTTTTCTTGTTTAATAGAAACTGTTATTGGACAATCTTTTTCAGTTCACTGCTACTTATGTGGACAGAAAAACCAAAATCCAACAACTCACGTGCATGCCTTGGATTAAACATTTGTACTAAGTTATGACAAATGGTCATGAATTTGGATTAAAAAAATATTAGTAATTAAAAAAAGGAAGAAAGGTTAAAAGTCTATCTTCTTGGTATCAAATTAAACTATCACACGGGATCACTCTTTATTAGTTAATTGTATTCTCAATACTTTTATTAGTTATTATTAGTTAATTGTATTCTCAATACTTTTATTAGTTAATTGTATATTGTAATGACAATGCATGATTATTCAAGCCAAATATAACTACTTCTCTATGATTATTCAAACCAACAAATAATGACATGGGTCGATATTCTTTATTTATTCTATATGTTGTATCAAAGGACACAATATCTCCCCAACAAGGGTCGTAGCTCCTTAATCAATAGGTCTCATGTTCGAGTCACTTTGTTAGGGAGCACTTTTAACTCTAATATGGGACTTTCTGGTGGAATTCAAATTTAATTGCGCTCCAATAGGGAGCACTTTTACCCACAATGCGGAACTTTCTGGTGAAATTCAAATTTAATTTGGCTCCAATATAGATACGGTGAGAAACCAACAAAAAAAAAAGAAGCTGACTCAATATCTGCACAAATCTTAGAACATATTATCATCTTTGCATAGTTTGGGGTTCAAATATCAAAACAAATAATTTGTGTTGGATTTTTAAATTTATGAACCAAATCAAACTAATAAAATTTGAGTTTTTCAACCTAGAGTTTTTTTTTTGGATTTTTTATATTTTCAGATTTTTCCGATAAAGAATTCATACAAACATATAATTAACTTGTGCTTCAAGTATTTCTTTAGACATATCAAAATACAACTATCTAACGTGCTTTTTTAAAAGAAAATAACACAAAATATGAGATGACTGATGACACTAAAATATTCAACAAAAATTTTAATGAAATCGCATAAAACAAATATTACACATTAATAAGTTATAATGAAAATGACCATAATTTAAAAGTACAAATCATGCTAAAATAAGTCTAATAAGTATTAATATTAATTATTTGACTAAACATTAAAGATAAATTAAAATTAGGTTACACATCTTAATTGACTAAGCCAAGGTAAAACTAAAGAACAAATATTCATTATTGTCATTTTTAGTATTGAATTGATTTTTTTTTTATTAACATTAGTACTTAATTTGATTTTGATTTGAGCTTTATTATAATTACTAACATCTAAGCACTATAACCTTTATAGGACCATTCAAAATTCTAAGTCTCAAACTTGAAATAATATTTTAAAGTATAAAAACTATGAAATATATAAGAATTATTTAGAAATTATATCAAAGTAAATACTTTTATAAATAAAATAATTTTAAACTATATCTATAATGTTGGGTTGGTTATATTGATCTCCTGTTGACTTTAGTTAAACCCAAATCAACTCAAGTATAGTCGATTTTTTTTATCAATATCAAACCAAGTCAAACTAAATTACCAGTCAAATTTTTTTTCCAGTTTGACTTGATTTTTTTGGTTTGATTCATTTTTTTATCCAATCCGACAATATATTTACAATTTTTAAAATTTATTTTATATATAAAAGTATTTACTTTGACATAATTTATAAATATTTCTTACACTTTTTGATAATTTTATCCTTTTTCATATTATTTCAAGTTTGAGACTTAGAATTTTGAATGGTCCAATAAAAGTCATAGTCCATAAATATTAGTAACTCTAATAAAGTTCAAATCAAAATCAAATTAATACTAATAATGTTTACAAGAAATCAATTCAATACTAAGAATGACAATAATTTTATTTTAGTTTACATTGACTCAGACAATCAAGATACCTAACCTAATTATAGTTTTTCTTTAATGAATAATTAATACTTATTAGACTTATTTTAGCATGATTTAGTACTTTTAAATTATGATTATTTTTATTATGAGTTATAATTAATTTGCAATATTTGTTGAATATATTAGTCTTATTTTCTTAAGAAGCACCTTAGATAGTTATATTTTGATAGGACTAAAGAAATATTTGAAGCACACATTA